ACTGGTATATATCTGCTAAGATGGCTTGTATGAAATTTGCATATCGACCCTCCATTCTGTGTTTCACAATTTCGCTGACGTGACTTTAGAGAAATTTTATTTGGTTGAAATTTGACCGTTTATTGCGTTGAACCATTCAGACAGCTACCGATGACTCGTTCTCATTTCAAGTTTTTAATTAATGCACCATACGAGTATACGACTATTTTATTCACATTGTATCGTCCGTCCAATCCCTACTGGTATATATCTGCTAAGATGGCATGTATGAAATTTGCATATCGACCCTTCATTCTGTGTTTCACAATTTCAAGAACTCTCTTTAATTCCAAAATACCACTGTAAAACAGACCACCAAAGCGCCCAAGGTCCTAAATATATGAATTCCTGAATCTGACTCTGTTGATTTGGTCAAGTGATTGAAGATTTTCTATTTCTTGAGGGTCTTTCTTGATTGTTTCAGGGAGATTGTATAAGGTTAAATTTGGGATTTGCTTGAATAGCAGATTCTCGATGAGTTCCTCCTCCGCATCGCAGGTTTTACCAGAGAAGCAAAATCAGCAAGTGGAGAGAATATTAAAGGCCAGAAATGATGAATATGGAGGAGTCATGGTGGAAATGACCAATGAGCCCATGGAGGCTGGTGTCTTTCTTTGTTTGCTTAGAGCCTCGCTTTCCCATTGGAGACAGCAGGTATTGAATTTGTTTCTAATTTTGTAACTGGATACTGATATGGTATTTAAGAGCGAAATTGAAAAGGTGTCTCAAACAATATTCTAAACAATATAAAACGTGGATAGACGTGAAGATCAAACTCCAAGCTTTACGAGCCTTGTGATACCCAGGCGGAAATTAACGTTTCTTATTTTTAATATTATTTTAAATTTTTAATCATTCTAAAAATCAGTTAAAATTAAAATAATTAAATAATACATACCAAACATTCAAAATTATAAAATACTATATTTATTTAATAATTCATACAATTAGTCTGTTATACAATTTTCAAAGAAAAAACTTGAAACTAAAGTCAAATATTAGGCTTTTAAAAAAATGAAAAAAAAAATAAAAGATTAAAAAAATTAATAAAGTGCTCTTAGTCGCGCAGTAAGTGGTCAACTTGGCAGTTGATTGCTTAATTTCGTGCTTACTGTCAGGATGTGGCGTTTCGCCAGTGCTTCGTGCCTAGACAGCTTTTTGTAGAGCATTAGGATTAAGAGAAAAATCAAGAGAATAAAGATTAGTGTACAAATGTTGGCCTAAGATTTAGTGGCTTTAGTTTTCAATAGAAGTTGGATCCTACTCATAAACTGGGATTTATTTCTTGGCATAAGCCAAAAATGGAATGACTTTTCTGGAAGTTCTCAGTTTTTCTCTTGGCTTCAAAAAAGTTCTCTCGTCGGAACCCTGAAAAAATCAATGGAAAGACGAGATCTAGTGCTTGTTTGGTAAAGATTAAAATTCAGTTAAAATTGAAAATATAACCGTTATTGGGTCCCACTCATCTAATAAAAATTAACAATAACGGTTGATTTTTTAATTTTAATCTTATTTTAATTTCTATCGAACACGCTCCTAATACTACGATAAGCGATAATGCTTTATTGAGGATTCCTATTGAACGCGATTTCTTACAGGAAGGCAGACCTGCCTTCTTAATCCATAAGACGGCATCAAAAAATGGAATGGCTGAAAAAAAAAAAAAATGTTTTAATATATATAGGATGCTGATCAGAATGGAAAACCCTTTGATTTTTCAATAACAGAGATATTTTTTTCTACTATCTTTTTGTAATGGGTTAAATCCATCAATGACCACCCAATTTTATACTTTGTGTCATCGTAACCGTCCAACTTTATATTTAGTGTCATCATAGTCACTTAATTTGATTTTATTTCACTGTTACCATCCAATTTCATATAATATTTCACCATGACCACCATGAAGACACTAAATATAAAGTTGGGTGGTCATGATGACACTAAGTATAAAGTTGGATGGTCATTGATGGATTTAATCATAAAATAAAATAAGAACTTATTTAAAAAAAGTTACTTAGAAAAATAAAATAAAAACTTTTTTAAAAA